AATACAAAGACCAGGGATTTGGCGCGAGACCCGCACGAGAAATCATCCCAGTGCAAAAAAGTGGCGCTAGACTCGCGCCAGAATGGCGCTACCCGCGCGGACTTCAGCGTGGAGGAAATTTCGAACTTAAAAGGACGCTGCGAGGGTTCTTTAACGGGACTTTTGACGACGAAGCAGAACAAGGATTCATGAAGGAGGAGAAGAGCAGAGGATTGTTCTTAGTTTCTCATTGTAATTACATTCTTTCATCTTTATCTTTTATAATTTTATGTCAGCCATGTCTATGGCTGGTTAATTTCTTTTATTGTAGTTACGGTCACAAACCCTATGTGAACCCTTTTTACGCTGGATTGATTATTTTTGCTCGTTTATTTTAATATATTTTAATTTTACCCTGTGCGTATTGATATTATTTCTGTTAGACTTGATCAACCTAAAAGAAGATAATAATTTGGGAATTAGGGCTCGCAATAGGAATATTGGGGTTTTTTATTCTGAAAGGGGGTAAGGTAACAATTTATGCATGTTCTAGGGATAGACTTGTGTGAGTTGCAGTCGTTTGATTTATCGTGATTAATGCTTAATTTCATGCGGGGTTGCTAAGGGATTAGGATTTCAATTGAATTAAAGGGTTAGATTGCCAAGGGATTGAGATTTAACTAATTATTTAAGATGATAATTTGTCTGAGTTATTAAATTGAATGAACGTTGTCAATCAATCCAAAGTTTAAAGTGGGGATCATATAGTGTGTGTACCTTAGCTGCAATGCCTTTTATTATTCTTACAAAAATCCATCTCTATTGTTTTTCTCATAAACAAAAATTCAAAAATACGTTTTACTTTTAATTCTTATTATTCTCAAATCCACGACAATATTTGTCACAAACTATTTGAACTCCTCCATTCTTGAAAGGACTATTAATTGATATACGATCACAATTCCTGTGGAGACGAACTTTTCTTATCATTATATTACTTGTGCGATCGGTATACTTGCCGGTGAGCATCATAGGGGCAGAGAAAGACCGCGGCTGTGAGAGAGGAATGGAATGACTAACACTAAGGATGACCTAACCTAAAGAATACCACCTTCATAAAATTACTATAATAACCCTTATACGGGTTGACACGTTAACCAGCGGGTCAACCCGTGACCCGGCACGAAAAAAAACGTGTCACTTTTTCGAGACCCGTACACGACCCGTCTTGACCCGCGGGTTGACACGACACGAGATTTGGCGGGTCGTGTCACGGATCAACCCGCGGGTCAATACCTGTATTACCACCCCTACTATACATAAGATTCACTTCCTCTTCACTTATCATCCTATAATTAAGAGAGAAATTAAATAGTATCTCATGAGTGTTACTTTTGAGTGAGGTATATTATCCTAATATAAAAGAGAATAATATTTTTTTGTCTCTTTGTATTCATAGAGAGGTTATAAATCTTCTTACCTTGGTTAAGTTGTAAATATTAAGGGTAATACTTTTCTTATATTACTTAAGAGAAGTATTATCTCCTACACTCACATTTTTCAAATGAGTCCCACAAGAATTTTTTTCTCTCACCTCCAACCTTTTTTTTTCTTATTTATTGTTTGAATAGGAGATAATACTTCTCTTATGCAACATAAGAAAAGTATTACCCAAATATTAATTGGTTGGGCTTAGTCTTCTTTTAATAAATTAATAGAAGTCCTAAGAGGCATATTTTTCTTTGTTAGGCTAATGGGCTAGAAGTTTAGATCTAATTGTGGATTTGAATACATGTAGTTAGGGGTGTTCATCAACCGATCAAAACCGATTCAAACCGCAGTGGCCGAACCAAAAAACTGATAATGAATAAATCGAAAAATTGAAAACCGAAAAAAATCGCAAATTTTAATTGGATTGGATCGATTTTCGGATAGGTTGAAGAAAACCGATCCAATCCAAACCGATCCAATATATTAATTTTTCTCTACCTACTTGGACGTTTCCTCAATCATAGCCCAAAAATTTCTAAATCCAAGACCTGTTAACCCACCAACTACACCAAAAAAATAAACCTAATCACTTCTCATCAACAAAATTTCATCTGTGTAGAGCTTTGATGCTCACCGGCAAGTTTACCGATCGCACAAGTAATATAATGAATGAGTAGAGTATCGTCTCCACAGGGATTATAAACCAAGTACCACAATAACCAGTCCCCTTAAATTGGAAAATTCGGTTGTTTAGGAAAATAGTGAATTGATGATTAAATAGAGACAAATATTTAAAATATAGAATTTTCAATTTAATAAGCAATGGTAAAAATAAATTGGATTTCTGAGAGAATAATAAAAAGCATTGCAGCTAAGATACACGCACCATATGATTCCCACTTTAAACTTTGGGTTGATTGACAACGCTCATTCAATTTAATAACTCAGACAAATTATCATCTAAAAATAATTAGTTAAATCCCAATCCCTTGACAATCTAACCCTTTAATCTAATTAGAACCCTAATTCCTTAGCAATCCCAAATGAAATTAAGCATTAATCACGATAAATCAAGCGACTGCAACTCACACAAGTATATCCCTAGAGCATGCATAAATTGTTATTTTACCCCCTTTCAGAATCAAAACCCCCAAATATTCCTATTGCGAGCCCTAATTCTCAAATTATTATCTCCTATTAGGTTGATCAAGTTTAACAGAAATAATAAACAATACGCACAGGGTAAAATAAAATATATTAAAATAAACGAGCAAATATAATTCAATCCATCGCAAAGAGGGTTCACATAGGGTTTGTGATCCTAACTACAATAAAAGAAAACTAGCCAACCATGGTCATGGTTGATCTATGAATATTCAATATCCACTAGAAATAAAAGAACAGAAGAACGAAGATCAACAAGAAGATCTCTCAGGAGGTCTCTCTCTCTGAAGCACGACGGTTCTCTGATGAATGCAAAATATAATTCTATCATGAAACCTCCTTTTTATAGTCCCCACATATCGTCTTCCAAAATTTCCCTTAAAGGACATGGTGATGTGATTTCCGCAAACTGGCGCGGGACCGCGCCACTGTGGCGCGGGACCGCGCCACTGTGGCGCAGAATCGCGCCACATCTCTAGAAGATGGCCTAGCAACCTGGTACTGGATCGCGCCACTATGGCGCCAGATCGCGCCATTTCTCTGGATTTTGGCCTGGCAAGACTGATGTAGCATAAAACTTCCAATCGTGTGGATTCGCGCCACCAAGCTTTTTACACTTTCGTATTTTCTACATTTTCTCCCTATATAAACATAACAAATAGGTGAGAAATATCATTGAAATGGAAAAGTCAATATAATAAGCAAATATGTATATAAAGTGCTCTTTTATGACTTAATCCTCATCTTTTTTAACTTGGAAAACTACATATGCCAGAGGCACATCAAGCTTCATATCTCATTGCCTAAAAAAATAAATTATATTATCGTTTACTGATGCTTTTTTATTTCAATTTTTTTTACAAAACCAATATATACAAAAGATATTATTTGCACAATAATCATGAAATAAATTTTAGGATTTTTATAAAACCGAAAATCGATCCAATCCAAACCGGAAAAAATTGGATTGAATCGGATCAGATTTGAAAAAAATTCAAACCGAATGGATGATTAAATGATCAACCGAAGGTATTGGATCAGATGATCTTTGCTTCCAAAATCGATCCAATCCAAACCGCGAACACCCCTGCATGTAGTTTGCTCAAAAAAGATTTTTTAAAAATAAAAATATATCATAAAACAACATAAAGTATATATTGAAAGTAAAAACAGTACAAAAGTAAAAAAGACAAACTCAAGAAAATGAAAATAACAAATTTTATTTCAAGTTCAATGTGATTTTTTTAATCATTGTTTTTTTTTTACCTCTTGCTTTGCTTATTATAAATCAAATTATGATTTAGCCATTGAGTTGCGACATTGCTTACCCAGCTTATTTTACTTATTTATTTGATTCATGCTTTCAAAAACATTTTAGCTATCAAGTAAATTTTTTAAAAATTGATTTTCTTACTTCACACAACGATTTCTAATATTGTTTGATATTTAAATGTTAATTATATAATTTACCAAATCAAAGGTAATTTGAATTGTAAGAATTTATCGTATAGTTATGTTGTTTTGCACTTTATAGAATAGTGAGTTTGTTTTCAAAATAAAGTCTTTCTTCTAAAAATTAAAACAATATTAGCCCAAATTCATTTAAACGAAATACATTGGTTTTAAATTCCTCTCGCACAAGAGATAATATTTTATAAATTAGTTGAAATTATCAAGCGTAAATAATTCATATTAGATAAGGGCAATATTATTCTTATGCAATAGGAAAAAAAATTTATCTTATGTCCATACATCGATACTTGTGCCATTTATTTTTTATTTTTTTTCATTTTTTTTCTATTGAGTCCCACTTTAAATTGAGTGTGTAGGAGATAACAAAATTTTTATGTGACATAAGACTACAATTACCCATTAGATAATTAGCTAAAGTAATAAAACTGAACTATTACATGGAGGCATGTATATTCTTAAATTAAATCGTCATATTCAGAAGAGTTTCATTTGTAATGAATATATGCATGTGCTTATATTCTCAAAAATAAAATGGTAAGCCATAACTCATAAGCTCACACGATAGACGCAAATATATATGTACATATCAAACTCTCCCATTATAGCAACAGCTAGCCACTTATGTCATAAATTTTGATCAGGAAAATCTGTAGTTAGCTAATTGGATTGCTACATGGTTGTTAAAATATAGGATAATATATATGCGACATAAGTCTCGGTAATTTTTCATTTCAGGATAAACTTAAAACATACATGAAAATAAGATAATGAAACCAGATTACATCCAAATTTAAATTCAACAAAGAACTAAAACGTCTAATTCTAGTCTTTGGTTTCACATCCTACAACACCTCCTATTCCTTTATTTTTAATAATATAGCCTCCTTTGTACTTCAATATCCTCCTCCACCACCTCCTCCTCCACTTCCACCACCACCATATCCTCCGCTGCTACCGCCTCCTCCTTGGCTACCTTCACCTCCTTGGCTGCCTCCACCTCCACCACTTCCGCCACCACCATAACCTCCGCCGCTACTTCCACCTCCTTGGCTACCTCCACCACCTCCTTGGCCCCCTCCACCGCTTCCTCCCTTACCACCTCCTCCTTTGCTACCTCCACCTCCACCACCATAACCACCACCACCACCTCCGTGGCCTTTGCCACCTTCTCCGTGGCCACCACCACCATATCCTCCTTTCCCTCCTTTCCCCCCTTTACCTCCACTTCCACCTCCTCCTTGGCTACCACCACCTCCTTTACCACCTCCACCACTTCCACCACCACCACCATATCCTCCGCCGCTACTGCCACCTCCTTGGCTACCACCACCTCCTTGGCTACCACCTCCTCCTTTGCCACCTCCACCACTTCCACCACCACCATATCCTCCGCCGCTACTGCCACCTCCTTGGCTGCCTCCACCTCCTTGGCTACCACCACCATATCCTCCGCCGCTACTGCCTCCTCCTTGGCTACCGCCTCCTCCTTGGCTACCTCCACCTCCGCCATAACCTCCTCCGCTACCGCCTCCTCCTTGGCTACCTCCACCGCCTCCTCCTTGGCCACCTCCACCACTGCCACCTTCACCGCCTCCACCGCTTCCTCCTCCTCCTCCTTGGCCACCACCGCCGCCTATTCCTCCCCCTCCTCCACTACCACCGGATCCGCCGCCATATCCACCACCTTTCTTCCCTTGACAGTTGTCGATACCCTTTACAACTGCATAATGTCACGTATAAAGCCATAGCTAAGATTCATATTTGATGTTGGCTTAAAATAAAACGTGGGAAGAGGAAACAAAATACTTACAATATGGCCGCTTTTCTTCACATTCTGGAATTACATTTGTTTCAACAGCTGCATCAACAAAATAACATATATACATGAGCTATAAAGGCTCACTATATATAAATTACATGCAAAATGTCGAAAATGGTTCGGTATAATTCATGCATTATATATATGCCATTCACAAATTAATATCTTTAACGAAATTGATGAACAAATAAAGTTGCATTAAATAAAGGGTTGAGGTTCATACCTTTAACCCCATCTTTAGATGATTCAACAGCCACAACCGCAGCTATAAGAACCACGCCAGACAGAAAACACAGGAAAATAAAGGGCTTGAAAATCATCTTGTTAGTGAACACAACAACACTTGATAAGGATGAAAGCAAAGGTTCTAAAAGACCCGTATATATAGTGCATGAAGATCTTAGTACTATACAGTGAGAGGGACCCACTTCTCAACCGTAAGTCTTAGTACTTTTTGGCTCATTTTAAGGCCGATTCACTTTAATTTGACATGAAAACATGGCCAAGTTAGACGTTTATGTTTAGCTGTGACTTTGAAATTCATGTGAAGCTGTGAGTCGTTTATGTTTAGCTGTGACCTTGAAATTCAAGTGAAGCTGTAAGTTAATAGTATTAATGAAGCTACTCAGTTAGTCATCTTTTTCCGTGTTATCCGCAACTTCAGGTTTGAGGCTTTCTTCTTTATTTGTGCATGAAGATTAGTGGTCCACTGGCGGTTTGATACTGAATTTCATGTTTCTGTGCCACCTTGAATACGCGTGTTCATACAAGAAAGAAAGATTTATTAACCACTTGCACATTATCTGCATAAAGCGTTTCTTATAGTCAATCTTATTGAAGAAGAAAGAGAGGGAGAAATGCAAAGGACACATGAAAGAGGGATCAAAGAGAAGAGAGACGGTGTCAGGTAGCTGAACTTTCGTGTAAAAAAAGGAAAGGAAATAAGGACAGAGATGACGAGGTTGGCTATGTCATTAATTTCATGAATTTCACCTCACATTTTAATTAGCCTACCGCCCCTCCCAGGTCCGCCGGGTCACTGACCCTCTTTATAAGAATTGGGATCAGCAGTTAGATGCTATATATACATTAACTCCCGGTTGAATCCGTGATTTCGTGGGTTATTGGATTTTTTTTTTTTAAAAATTACACAAACAAAGACATCATTTGGTATGTTAAAAAAAAAAACAAAAATTCGCTTGTGCCTAAATTTAGAATTAGATATGAAATATGAATCGTTTTTCTTTTTCTCTTCCGATCTTCTCTCCCAGATTAGATACAGTCTCTTCGGTCGTCTCTCTCCCTCTCCTTCGTCGTTCTGGTTTTTCTTTTCCCATCATTGGTTCGTCGTGCCACTGTTTCTCCTTTGTCGTTCTCTCTTAAGTATGTGATCTCCTTTCACATGCTGTTGTAGGTACGTGAGAAGGACAAGAAGGCCCTAAATTTGATGATATTACTTGTTGAGATATATAAAACCAAATGTAGCCTCACCTAACAGCTTAAGCTTTTGAGTTGAATTGGTTTTTTATATGGTATTAGAGCTTCGTGTCCCGAGTTCGATCCTCACCGCCCCTCACTTTCTTTTGTGAAATTTCTTAGCACAGGTAGTGGGCCTGTGCATTGTCCACCCTTCAAGCCCAATGGGCTCTCGTGTGAAGGGGCGTGTTGAGATATATAAAACTATTAATGTAGTCTCACCCAATAGTTTAAGCTTTTGGGTTGAATTGATTTTTTGATGATTGGTAGTTTGATTTTTTTTTTTTTTTGAATTTTTCATATTGGGTATATATTTATTTTTTTAACGCATAAAATCGGGTCAGCGAAATGACTCCTAATTTAATTTGTGATCACGTGACCCCTAATCTCGGTCGGATCATTGATCGGCCGAGTTTTTAAACACTTGTTATTGGCATGGCACTTCTATCTATTTAATTTTATTTCTTTTAAATTATTTAAAATGACGTTTATAACTCTATTTATTTAATAATTTTTGATTTTTTTTACTTATATTTAATTAATTAATAAATCACACATTTAATTTTAATATATTTAAGTGAAAAGGGATCAAAGTGAAGGGGGACGGTCTCATGAGTCATGACTCCTTGAAGTATCTGAACTTTCGTAAAAGGGAGAAAAAAAAATAAAGACAAAGTTGATTAAGTTGTTTAAAATGACTTTTATTAGTTTATTTATTTAATAATTTAAACTCTTTAATAGTTATATTTAATTAGTTATTTACACACTTAAATGTTATTTATTTAAGTGGGGATCAACTTGAATGAGGGACGATTTCCGCAAAAGGGAAAGGAAATAAGAACAAAGTTGAAGAGATTGGCAGTATCATTAATTTCATGAGCTTGAGCCCACATTCCTTTTCTTTTGTTTTTGCTGACCACTTGAGCCCACATTCTAAATTATTCGCACTTCTATCTGTTTTTTTCTTTTCTTTTTTTGGGTAAACATTCGCACTTGTATGTTGTATCTACTTAACTATATTTCTCTTAAATTGTTTAAAATGAATTTTATTAGTTTTTTATTTAATAATTTACACTTTACAATAATTTTATTTAATTAATTATTTACACATTTAAATTTAATATATTTAAGTGAAGAGAGACGATTTAAGGATGGTAGGTAATCAGGTAACTGAAACGAAAGGATCAATGAAGACAAAGTTGATGAGCTTGGAAATGCCATTAATTTCATGAACTTTTATTAGTTTATTTATTTTTAAATTATTCACACTTCTATCTACTGAATTATATATATTTTAAATTATTTGAAATAACTTTTATTAGTTTATTTATTTAACAACTTAAACTTTTTATTATTTGTGTTCAATTAATTAATCACAGATTTAAATTTACTCATTTTTCAAACAAATTTTTTTATCATTATCAGAGAAATAGAAAAAATTTAATTAATTTTTTAAATACCAAAAGGAATTTTTTTAAATAAAAATGTTTTATTTCAAACTGATTAGTATTTATACTTTTTTACTTATATACTTACACTTTATAAACTTTATATTCATTTTATTATTTTTTGCCCAATTTATAAGTTGAATATAAAAAATTTAAAATAAAATATAAAAATATTAACTGTTAGGCATATCAAATTATTAGAGATCTACATAAGAGCTTATTCAAATTTTCATGCCATGATACAAACTTAATTCTCTACCTCCATCAAAGCTAAGAAGCATGGACACACATATTTTTGAGAAAAATGCGTGTCAGACACCGTCACGTGTCCGACACGCAATTAACTTTTTCGACACCCAATTAACGTTTCGACATATTTCGACTTGCGGTCAATGTTTTCTGACACATTTTTTTAATCCAAAATTTATTTTATTTTATTTTATCTTTTTAACTAAACATGAAAAATAATTTATAAATCAAATATTTTCTATTATGGAATTTGACATGAAAAATTAACAAGGTATGAAAATTTATTTTTGTTTTATATTTATGTTATGAAATTTGAATATTTGATTGATTATATGACTTATTATGGACTGCTATATGTATTAAATATAGATTGTGTAATTTATATTAAAAATATTATTTAATATCAAAATGTGTCCTAACATGTCAAAATTTAACAATTTTTAGAATTAACGTGTGGGTGCGTCGTGTCCCATGTCGATGTCGGTGCAATATAGCATCAAAGTCCTCCGTACTGACAATGGTAAAGAATACTTTAATTCAGTCCTTGGAGATTATCTCTCCCACCATGGCATTATTCAACAAAGTTCATGACCTGACACTTCTCAGCAAAATGGTGTAGCTGAAAGAAAAATTAAAATTGTTACCTTCTTGAAGTTACCTGTGCCCTTATGGTCACTATGAATGTTCCCAAATACTTATAAAGGGAAGTCGTCCTTACAACCTCTTACCAATGTTATAAAAACCGACCCAGTTATCGAACCGGTTGGAGTGCTGGGTCATTGGGTCACTGGTTCAACCGCATGACCCAAATATATATATATACTTTTTAATTTTTAATTTAGGATACCAGTTATAATTTTTTATTTTAAAATAAAATAAATATGAACATATTACCATTATTAAATTAATAAATAAAATAAAGGTTCACACATGTGAATAGAAGAAAAAATGATACATGAAATAATATAAAAATATAAAAGATTTTAAAATTATTAAATTTTTCTTTATGGGTTTGCAAGAAGAGTGAAATTAGATTTGGCCCAAAGACTGAACAGACCCAACTTTTCAAAACCCTAATATTCCTATGTTTAATATCTCCTTCCAATCTCAGTTAGAAAAAACAGTAGCCGCCTCTGTTGTTTTTCTCTGGTTTTAGCCAAAACCAGAAACGAAACCAACATATAAATGGTTTTCGCATGTCACTAACTGGCGAAGTCCAGCCGCCTCTATCTCGTAAACCCTGATTTGGTTTTCATTGATTAGTCCTCTTGTCTGTTTTCTGGTTTTCTCTCGTATGGTTCCATTTATGGTTTCTCTCTTCTTGTTTCGTTTCTGGTTTTCTCTTCTGGTTTTGTTTCTGATTTTTTTGTTTCTTAAGGTTGTGCCTTCGATCTGGTTTATTCGAATATTTTTTGAATTGGTGGGTCACCGATTTTAAAAAAACTCGGTCGGGTCTCATCGAGTCAAACCGGTTCACCTGCAAGTCCGATCCAATATGCTACCTGGTCTGGTCGCACGACCAGTTTACCGGTTTCCGGGTTGAACCGGCCGGTCCGGTTCGATTTTTACAACATTGCCTCTTACCTAATCAACCGAATGCCTTCTTGTGTTTTCAAATTTAAGTCTCCCTTATCATGTCTCTTCCACACCTTTCCTTTTATTCGATATATCTCTTGTCTTCTTCCTAAATTTTTTGGTTGTGTCGTGTTTATCCACATCTCTCCTCATCACAGGTCCAAACTTGACCCGAAGTCTCACAAAGGGGTACAAATGTTATTCTCCATTTTTGAATAAAGTCTTTATCTCTATGGATGTTACCTTCTCTGAAACACAATCTTACTTTACCCACCCTTCTATTTAAGGGGAGCCTCTAAATGAGATTGAAGATAAGTCTGACCATCTTATTGAATCTATAGTATTACCTCTTCCATGTCCCCACATATAGAAATAGAGGGAGATGCTGAGTTGCATCAACCATTATGAGTCTATAGTAGGAGGATGCCTCCTCAAAGTGTAAAAAATCCAGAACTTCTACACTGCTAAGAATCCACTTTGGAGTCCATTTCCAGCAGTCCAAAATCTCCACATTCTGATGACCTACATCTTCCGATTGCTTTACGAAAAGTTACTAGATCTTGCACTGCATA